CAAGGCACAGTCGACTTGGCGTATGTTAACTTCTGACCCACTGGAATTGTGATATAAATAGATAGTTTGACCACGTGAAATATGTGGAGAGGTTAAGAAATGAGTTGAGACTTCAACCTAAGTGTGTGTAAATTCCTGGCTTTAACTGTAAATCCTGGTTGTCTTTTGAAATAAATCTTAAATATGGCAACTTGCTAAATTCTATGCTTTTACTCATAATAAACAAATAGCCAAGTTCTACATTAAATTATAGACATAGAATTCATTCTACTTCAGTTCTGTGGTCACCATTATCTCCATCATCCAGTTTTATTTGCCATAATTACATTTTTATTTATTCAGTTCAATTCAATTTTATTTATATAGCTTTGAATTATAACAGAAGTCATCTCAGGGTACTTTTCATATAGACCTTCTGCTTTATAGTATGATCAACTTCTTATATGAATTAAAAAGTTTCATCCCTATACAAATGCTGTAAGTAATTAGTAGTACTATATTAGTAGTATAGTAGATGTGGTCTGCTTTCAGTCATTTTGGGTTTTTTCTCTTAGTATTTTTTTAATAACATACAGAATTTGTCATATGCTTAATCTCTCCTCTAATTAATGTTCTAACAAGGTTTTTGGAGCCACAGTGTGTAACGACCACTAATGACCGTCCCTGCCTGCTCTCCCATCATACGTTCACTGCATGAGAGAGTGTGTGTATGTGCACTTGCTGTGCACACTCGTGCACCATGTGATATCTTCACTGCCGTGGCTCAGTTAGTTAGTTTGTCCTCCTGCTGCTCTGCTTGCGTTCTGGGACTTTTACAATCATGGTAATCATCGTCCCTGCTTTCTCACAGCAGCAGGTGTGTTACGTGAGTGGAGTTAATGCTTTCACCCTGACCATTCAGACCAGGTGTGGAGCAGGAGAGGGCCACAGCACAGTTTGTTATTTTATCTTTAAATAGCAAAGATGTACATTTCATTACTTTATATGCATGTAATGCATCTATAAATGTCAATTATTAGGTAATCTGAGAGAGTAATTTGGTTATAATAACCATTTGTTTAGCGTGACCAATTTGACCTGGACAGATTTCTATAAGCTGTTTCCGCTATATTAACAGACACCCAACATTCCCCCATAAATATATGGATCACTGAGCATTTAGAAACTTCCCTGATCCAAATAAGTGGGACAGAAAATTAAAAGATACAAGAGTGCAGCTGTGTGCAGTGACATGATGAAGACATTTTAAGGCTGAATTGACATAAACTTGATGCTTAATCCAATTAATTATCAATAGATTAAATAATGATGCCGTGGCATCAAGTTGTTTTTCTTATTTGGTCCTCCCCATTTATATCAATGCCGGTAGGCTAAAGAACAGATATTATACACCTTTCTGTGTAATGTAATACAGCTCAACAGCTGCACACACTACATCCTCCACAACAATCATCTACTGTCTAAAACAATTTTATTACAAACTAAACATTATAACCTTCATGCAGGAGGACTTATTACAAGACTGCCATATTAGACAACATCAGTTTTATCTACATGTTCCAAATAAATGCCAGCTGAATATATATTAGTAATTGTCAGTTGAATGCACAGACTGCAATGTGCCTGACTGGAATTAATTGGTTGCTTTCAATGCTGCTCTCACCTGGGAACAACATATATATGCATTGAAATACCAATGTACATCTGCCTGGTAGCCTAAAGGTGCTCTTTGATAATAATAATAGTTCTATCATATATTATTATTATTATTATCAGTTTATAACATGTTTTACCTCTTCCTTCTTTTAAAATGTAACAAAGGTACAACAACATGCTCACTCATAGAGACTTTTTAACTGATTGTCTTTGTACTTTTATCTGAGAACATTTTCACAGAAATAATTTTACTTCCACTGTAGTTAAATGTCTTTTCACTAACAGTGGTAAGTGGACGTTCACATGTTCACACAGTCAGTGTAGTGTCTCATCTCCAGTTGATGGAGTTTCTGTTACTGTTAGCAGCTAACTACCCGCTGTACATTTAAACTTACACTAGTTCTTTACTTCTTTACTTTAGCTTACAAGTCCTCTTGCACAAAGCAAATATGGCATTATTTGCTCACATAGCCACACTCAGGCCAAGCCCACAGATGCCACAAAGCCCATCTGTAAAAGTCGCTTTAAACCTACACAGACCAAACAGAGGCAACACGACAGACAGGTCAACCTGATCAAAGATTTCAAAGAGCTACAGGTTAGCAAATGAGAGTTTGATGAGGCACTAAAGGGCAACGATAACTGTTTAATTTGGCTTTATCTTTCCAGCTAACTTATCAATGTGGCAAACAAATGCAACGTTCACACTGGGAACGTATGCAGATCAACACCAGAGTATAAATAATCAATTTATAATAATAATAATAATAATTGTCTTTTACTAGAAAACACACTCGGTAGAGCTCAGACCTCCGAGCCTCATTAAACACTGTTTAATAAAAGATATTTGGTTGCAAATATAAGGTCAAAGAAATCACTTAAACTCATATAGAGGGAATCAGATTACTGCATAGCATGTAAAAGCTTTAATAACACTATGACCTTGATTCTTATTCACAATAATTCAATTTCTAATGTTATAAATTTACTAGTTGTCAAAAACTAGGGATGTCATGATAGAAATTTGGTAGTTGGTACCAAAACTAATGAAATTCCACAATTCTTGATACCAAGTTCAATACCACAGCAAAACATAGAAAATGAATGAAAATGAAGAGAAGTTTAAAAAGTCAACATTATATTTTGACAGACTAAACAGTGATGACAGTAGCTGCTAATGTTGTGAGCACCCAGCTCACATTATGAGCTGCTGCTATGTTAGCCCCATCAAAAACACACCTATATGTATGAAAATTCAAACAAAGCTGAATGCCTTCATACAGACTGAGGGTTTGTAAGTCATCAGTAACAGTTGTAGCACCTGTAGGAATTGTTTGCATTAACTTTCAAGGCTTCATTTGCTTCCACTGCTGCAGGAAACCTGGGAGTTTCTCAGTCCCTGGGAAAAAGCTGTTTTCTATGAAATGTACATGATTTATCATTTTTTGGTGACCTAAACTTTTTGTTTTTTCCTTGGGCAGTTTAAGCAGTGAACTGCTAAAATTTGAATAAAAACTGGAAAAATTAAGATGTTTTAAAACTTTTGACCAGTAGTGTATATATGTATTCTTTTATTTACACTTTGCTGTGGCTTTTTCATCATCTCAGTTTATATAATACCTTCACCCTACACAACCTTGTCACATTATATTTCCCTACTCTTTTCCATGTTGATAAGGACAATCTGAATGCACCATGTAAAAGAGATTGTGGAACACAGAGAACTGCAAAGAATACACTAGCATTTTAAGCCTCGTCAATCCAGTGACGTTTATTTCCATGGTCGAGAATGAAAAAAAACTTTAAATCTCAGCCAACATAGACAAGAAGTCCTTAAGTCCTCACAATGATGGAAACTTGAACATCTGAACTCCCTCTACTGGGGAAGATCATGTGATACGAACAAAAGCTTCGAACCAGAACTAGAATTCTCAGTCGATTCACATATGCCAAAAATCATGTTTGCTCACCGTTCATGACACTGTGTTGACTGAACCAAAAACTTCCAAATGAACCAAAAACTTCCAGCTGAACCGTGACGGCACAGTGAAGCACCCGGACACACACACACACACACACACACACACACACACACACACACACACACACACACACACACAAGGTAACTTGTTATTCCTCTTCAAATAAAACAAGCATTGTGGATCTAATAACTTCGTATTGGTCCTTGATGAAGGTTATGAAGGTTTTCTGTGGAAATCATAACTCATCACCCACAGGGCTAACACTAGTGAATCAGAGCACCACTAACAAAAAAGCCAGCAAACCAACCCACAATGCAACACTTTACAAAACAATTCTGGTGAAGAAAACAACTCAGCCATAGTCCGTTTCACTTCAGGAGCCAGTCCCAGTACTGGTGTTGCAACAGAACACACACATCAAATTCTGTTTAAACACCATTTCACCAATGATGTTGGTCAGTAAATTACACTATTAATTTATGATTCCACTACAGACAGAAGATTGTAACACACCTAATAGACACACCAAATAGACCTGTCACAATAATTACATTATTTGGAAATTATTTCATCCTTTGATTTATTTTAGCAGCCTAAGACAATGATTAGTCTGTTCTATTTAGTGATGTAACTGCATTTTTAACATCCATTTGGTATTACACTGTTTTTTGAAGAATGCTTCATTTTTTTTTAATTGTGGCTACAATTTCAAGTAGATGTGAATCCATAGTCATATCATATATCGTATCACTATTGAGATATTTGGCTTAATATCAAGGTATGAAATTTTATTTATATTGTGCAACCCTAATATATATATATAATCTAATCAAATCAAATCATGAAATTTAATTTGAACATTCCCACCCCTACCACTGACTGATCAGTTTTCTCAAGTGATATATTTTGTCCTGACATATGGACCCACATGTCACACAATTGATTGTTCTTCACCTTGATTTATTGTTGAGCCTGTTTTTCAGTTGAAATATTAAATGTGCATGTGACATGTTAATTAAAACTAATTTTATATGAACAAAACAGAAGGTTTTGGCAGTAGGTACCACAGAAGCTATCCCTGTTGTGTGAAAGGAGCTAAATTCTTGTCTCGGATTCTGAATGGCTTATATCTTCATACACTTCCATGGTGCACCTGTATACAGTGATAGTGTGATGGAGAGAGGCAGCCATTTGTACTGCTACTTTTCGCCTCTGTCACAGGATTCAAAATGAGAAACAGTTTTGTTTTTTTTTATTTAGGGTACCAGTTCCTCAACATGAGGAATGTTGGGGTTAACTTAAGACATGAACACCAAACAATTACATTGGCTGATCCATAATACTCTCATGGTTCATACTCACTTGTTCCTCAAGACCTGCCAGGCCGCTTCGATGTCCGCATACAGGTTCTTCTCAGATGGCTTGCCGGTGCTGACTCCGTAGCCTGAGTAATCATAGGAGAACACGTTGCAGTTGATCCTGGAGCCGAGGCCGATGTAAAAACTGCACATCTGTCCCAGGTCCACGGCATTTCCGTGGGAAAACAGCAGCGTGTACCGGCTGTTCGGGGCGCAACGCACGAACATGCATCCAACCCGGTTACCCCTGCTGCTTCTGGTGGTAAACACTTCCACTGCATCCAGTTCCCGCTGGGAGTACTGCCAGTCCGCCCGTTCGGTTAAATGTAAGCTAGTTACCCCGTTAGCGTCGGTGTGCACCGAGTATGTGGGCTCCGGCGGGAGGAAGGCTAGCTTGGCCGCGATACGACTGGGACAGGGTGGACAGCAGAACAGCCAGCATAGCTCACCGAGAGAAAACCCATTCATCCTGGGGCCTTGTTCGGGCATTTAGGCGCGGGTATACCCGGTTTAATCTCTTGTACTGAACCAAAAAACAGTCAGTTCTCCTCTGGCTTGAGCTCCTATTCAGTTGCCATTAACAGAAAGTAGCGAGTAGTGCTGGATGACAGGTGGCTCAGTCTCTCGGCTTTACAGCTAACAGCTACCTGCAAGCCGGCTAGCGTCACAGTGAAACTCGCACTTCATGTAGATTACAGATGAACTAAAACGAAGCATTTACATTTATCTTACTTGAAAGCACAAAACAGTGCAGCGGCTGCTCTCGATTGAATAATTTCGCCTCTTTAACATATTATTTGGTAAACGTCAAGGTTTGTAGCTGATGTATTGTAAGAGAGACAACAGCCATTTCTCTAGCATGGAGACGAGCCGGTTTTCCGGTATAAGCGGATATCCTGTTTGGCATCTGTTTTGTTCCTAGTTTTTTTTTTTTTTTTTTTTTTTTTTTTTTTAACGTTAGCTCATTGTTTTCCTTTTGTGTTGTATATTAATGTAATAATCATAATTCCTTACAATAATTATTACAGTATATACTCTACACTATATACACTATCTAATATCTTTAAAGTAGGCCTATATCATTTTTTTCTATATACAATATGCATATAGGCTATATACATTATATCATGTATATGTACTGTATATAGGCTATTTATTCATCACATGCTTTCATCTCAAAATCAAATTAGTGAACTTCCTAATCTTATCATTTATCATCCCCATTTTAGAAATTTTGTGTCTTTCCATTCACTTATTTGTGGTGATGCACTTTGTTTTCAACTTTTTTAAAGATCTATTTTAGTGCTTCTGCTCTATTGCCCAAACCTGGCGATGACAATTCAGTTTTATCCTTTAACCAAGTGTTTTTAATTGCACAAACACAAAATCATTCATTACCCTTCAATCCTGGCAGCATTGCTGTATGTTTCCTACAAATCTACTTATTTGTAATTTTCAGAAGACTGGGTTGGTCTTGCCATTCCTATAATATAAACACTTACACCTATCAACATACAGCGGGCAGTATACTCCCAACGCAGAACACGGTAGGTCATTACCACATATCAACACTGAGGACGGCGCACATGAAAACAGCTGAGACTCAGATTCAGAAACAGTATAGAGGCACGTGTCCTCAGATAGCTGAAGCACTTCAAACCCACTTGAGAGCGAGAAGAAAATTACACACGTAAAATCTACACGCATATTTCAGCAGTGTCACTAATAACCATATGGAGACAGGACTTGGCTACGTTTGTCATAGCCTGGAGGAGGAAAGCCATTCCCAGTTAGTCTAATGTGTTAAAATCTAATGGGCTGCGGCGATTGAATCTGGGCCAAGTTTCCCATACAAACACCACATGTCTGATATTTGGAGCAGGTAGGGGAAAGTATAAGTAGAATATTTATGAGTCTGAAACCCAAGATGTCTCACTGTTACAAATAGGCTGAAATAAAGCCTGTGCATAGATATGTTTCTTTCATCAAGACAGTATGGGATCAAGCACCTGCCAACATGAATCATCTCAAGTCTAATTAAATTCAGCCTCTGACCTTTAATGTAGAACTGAACTGTTTTTTCTCTATCCTGCCCCAGCTGCATTGATTCAAGTGCAGCTGAAGATAAAATGATTCATTAGGATGAAAGGATCATTCCTTCTCCCTCATCATGATGAACACCAGGCAAAAGTCAACCTTGATCTTCCATACCTATGTTACTGGTGACAACTGGTGCTGATATGAAGCTTAGCGAAAGTTCAGTCAGGAAGACTATCTACTTGCTTCTAAATCACAAGCAACGTTTCCTGCTATCTATAAGCTCCACCCACTCATTCACATCTTCACCCAATCACAACCTTACATGGTGGCTTTCAGCCAATCACCTGTAAGCTGTCAAACTTTAAATTTTCTCTCTCTCTGCTGTCATTCATCTGTCATTTCATCACTGTGAATAATCTGCGACCCATCTCCACCTAAACCATGGACGCCAGACCATCTCCAATCAAACCATCCAATCAGAAGTTCCCTCATCAAGACTTTCCCATTCCCGAGCTCCATTCCTCATCACCACCAGTGTCTACACTCCGGGGGAAGATTCCTCTTATTGGAATGACCTTAAACCTAAGGATCTTGTTCATAGTGATCCATGTCCTGCTAATCGCCCAAATCTATTCCTTCTGTTCACAATAAATTTCATTTTACTTTAATTCTCATACTCTCTTGTTCTTCTTATTGTCGATCGTTAAAGGACAAATGGATGGATGGGTGGATGGATGGATAGATGAATGGATGGATGAATGATTTTTTTCTGTACATGAGATATTAAAATACACAAAGAAAAAATAAGTATAATTACATATCAACTTAAAATGGCAGCACTAACAATAATAAACTAGAGTAAATCATTATTACTTCCACTTTCTTCATTTGTGTTTTTAAATCTATTTCTTCACTTTCAGGGTGTTAAACAAAGGAATCTAATAAAACATAATACAAGTAAACATTCAATAGCCATGCAACAATAAAATGCCAACCAAATAACTGATATAAGATTAGCCAAATAAAATAACATAAGGTTTGAGAAGTCCATTCTTTAACTCAGTGGTTCTCTTTGTTCACAGTGGTTTGGAAGGAAAGAGGTTTTCAGACAGAAGGGTGGGGTTGTATAACTTCCTGGGTGTGGTTAATAGTATGACAGGTGATTTCAGATGAGGCAGGGTATTACACTTCTGATTTAAAAAACTTAATTAAAGGACTAACACACTGAAATGATTTAGCACATATGTAAAACTGTTCATTGTAAAGTCTATGAGCCCAGAGCCCAGACCTAAACAAAAACACAGACAAAAAAAACCCTGCACACTAACGTCCTATGTTTTCTACATAACATGACCTGGTTTACAAATAGCAACTCAAGACTTCTAAATGAAATCCTGTAACATCAGACAATTCCTTTATAAATGCCAGCTCTATTTTTTTTTTATCACCAAGGTTCAGTTGTGTTTGTACTGTACTGGTATCACAACAAGCCTGTAATTCTATTTCATGTAGCCTATGTATTTCTTGTGTCAACCATAATGGTGTACTACTTTTGATATTTTTAGATTGGCACATATACGGAGAAGATGAAGGAGAGCTTGAGGGTATGAGGAGCTTTACATTGATCCTTGTGCCTGACCAGGAATCCAGATTGGGAGTCCTGGTGGGAGCGCTGTACCCAGTTTCTGTGGTAATTGAAACAGAATGCAGTAGAGTTGCTGTAGGTGTTGCTGTTTCAAAGTCTCAGTTAAGTCCTTTCCAGACATTGATCATCTGTAGTTGCTTCAGAAAGTATTTAGACCCCCTTCAGTTTTTGCACAATTTGGATTTCATTTTAAATGGATAAAATTGCCATTTCCTATCAATCTACGGATTAGGATTAGGGCCACATCTGATCTTAATTTTCCAACTGAATCTAAATTTGAAATTCTGAGATTAAAGTCAGAACATAAAAAAACACAGAAAAATTCATATATGGCCCAAATCATCTTCCATAACACCCACAATGACAAAGTTTTTAGACATTCCTGTAAATTTATTATAAACCAAAAACTGAAATCTCCAGTTGTCAGACTTTGGCTGTGGCACTCTTAATTGAGATCAGGTGCATCCTATTTACTTTAATTATCCTTGAGATATGTCCAGAACTTGACTCGAGTCCACCTGTGGCAAATTGAATTACCAGGATATACAGTAGTTTAGGAAGATTCCACAATTACACTGCATGTCAGGGCAAAAACCGAGCAATGAAGTCCAAGGAACTTTCTGTAGACCTTTGCAATAAAATGTTGTGGTGACGTATAGATCAGGGCAAGGTTTTAAAACCATTTTTAAAGCTTTGACTGATCCCAGGAGTACAGAGACCTTAATAATTGTGTATTAGAAGAAGTTTGGACTCTTCCTAAAGCTGGCCATCCAGCAAAACTGAGTTTCTGAGGAACCTTAAGTCTATAGACGTTCATTATCATTATCTCTATGCTGACAGTGGGAGCCAGAGCAGAGTGTCTCATGGTGTTCATGCCCACTCGCCATGTTGTTGGAGGATTACCCGGCTGATCTGTCCCTGCACAGCTACTTGTGAGTAGAGGACACAGACAACATTTGAAACAATGTGATCTTCTATAGACAAATAATTGAAAGTAAATGATACTCCGGAATGGTTGAACACAGTCATCTTTTTTTAGACAATTAGAACATTTATGCTACAACCCTGAAATATCTGTAGCTTTCTATTATGACAGCCCTCTCCACCTGTGTACCTGTTGCTTCCTGTGTGTGGCTGCTTCCTTTACAGGTACTAGAGGTGGGTGTGGCAGAGGGTTGTCTGTACCTGGGCTCATCAGCAGACCTGGCACACCTGGGCCCTGTTTGCTAGTGCTAGTTCTGGTTCTCTCTCCTCCTGGAGGCACCTGTTTGGTTTGGTTGGCATTTGGTTTGTGTTGTTTCTGTTGCTGCATCATGCAACATTGCATTCACACACCTCTTCACTCATGCACTCATTTACATTGCTGATCTTACAGATTACATATGCCATTGTTAGTTTAGGTTCTTCTTCTAGATTTATTGTCTGTTTTTTTTTTAGACAAATTAAACATTTGTTAACTGGCTTGTCTGTGTGCATCTCTCTCTTTTGTCATGGCCGTGCGGCCCGGTTTGTGACACTATGAAAACAGAAACGCTATAAAAACATCCTGTGTCCCCAAGGCCATCATTGTCTCATTCTTGCTCACCACTGCTGTCTGTCATTTCAGACAGAGAAACTTCATCTAGCTGGATGAAGAACAAAATATAGACGTGTGAACTCTTATCTCTCTATCTTATGTTTATTGTTTTTTTAAATGACAAGTATACAAACCGCCCACCCCCTCACCCCATCCCAACCACTGACATACAAAGTAAGTAGATGAGTAGGCTAAGTCAAATAAAATATAAATACAGCAAGTAAAGAAGTACAATATATTTTTACAATATAAAAAAAATAATTAAACAATTAAAAAAAGGAAAAATGAAAGTTTAAGTTCAAAAGAGACTCTCCTTGTTCTCAGGGTCCATCACAGCACGATGTTTGATATTAGACAGTACCGTTATCCCATAATCCCATATTATAGTTTGCCAGGTGAGCCTCGCATCGCAGTGTGTGCCTAATTTTTTTCTAGCCTCATATAATACAAGATATTAATTGAATCCTTCCATCTCAGTAGAATTGGACGACGGGCAGCAGTGTGTATGGAAACATGTGAACTCTTATATTAAATGTTATAATACATTTATGATACCTTTTAAAAATGGTCATACCCTGTTTAGCACTGTGCATAACCTTTACAGCGG